AATTTCGGCAATTTTTAGAATTTTTTATCGAGAGGTTCATCCCATAGAAAAAATTCTTATAATATGCTTTTGGTTGTTTTTTTTTCAGATAAAATGAAAATATCACTTATCGATTTTTACAAAATTTTCTAGCTAGAAGCATATTTCATATTAACAATCTTAGTAAATAATTAATTTTTTTAATAAGAAAATCATAAATAAATACAAATGTATAATAAATAAGCATTGCAAATTTAAAAAAAAATTAATGAAGGACTATGAAAAAAATAATAACACCTAATTCCAATTCAGGCGAAACCCCCCCTTAATATAAAATTTCAAATAATTCAAAAACTTACTACTATAATATCGTCTGCTAAAAAATACTTTCTAGCTTGTATTTATGTTTTCAAAATTTTAGTTTCGGTTTCCAAATATAATTCAAAAATAATCCATATAATACCGATTGTTACGGAAAATTTTGAACCTTTCATATCTCACGTGCAACAATTCTGAAAAGATTGTAATATATCATATGAGATGTTTTAATAGAAATGTTTCTAAAAGTTCTTATATGCAATAAATTAAAAAACACATTTAAACAGAATAAAAAATCATCATGATGTTAAAATGGCTCCAAAATATTTACTAAGTCATTTTTTTATCAATTCAGTTTAATATTATTTTGAGTTATCGTGAGTTATTCTACTTTAATTGCGAAAAATGTTTATATATAAATAATGGTATTATGTGAAAAGTGTGATTTTTTTAATAATGATTATGTATATATGCTATGATTATGTATATATATAATATATGATTAATTAATCAAAATAATTGGTAGTAATCTATAAATAGATTACAATTCTTAATAAATTTTAAATATTTCAGAAATGATATTTAAATATTATTTAATTGATACTTAAATAATATTTTAATTTATTATGTCGACATAAATTTAAGTATATCAATCAAGTATATATATTTAAATATCATTTTTAAAGTACTAGAAATAGCTGAAACCTTTTTAATATTTTAAAAAGATTACAGATTTTTTTCTATAACATTTCATTAATCTTTCAACAAAGTTTCATGTACAAGAATCGCAGACATTTTGTTATTCCAGAATTGTCTTAAAAATATTGTAGACATATTTTGCAATTTTTATGAAATGTTTTACTTTTCGATTGAAAAATTTCTGAAAACTTTCGGTGCTGTATGAAAAAATAATATGACAATAGAGTCTCTCTACCAGAGTCTGATCATTCACTGTATTCGCGTCTATTGACTGAATAAGCTCAAGAATAACATGATGGAACCAATGAGAATTACTATAAAATTCAAACTAAATTTAAACAAGAGAGATACAATAATTCTGTCTGACTGTCGCATTTTTCTACTTAATTCTACTACAGTTTCTTATTTCGAATGGAAATGTATCGAATGAGTATATTTTTATTAAGTTTTGCGATGACATCAATTCTAAGGTTACATTCCAAAACGTCCTCTCAGAGGAAAATTTTACTCGAAATATTGTAGTATTATACGATTACAAGTCTTATATATATTTCAAGTAAAATTTTTTTCGAAAAGGAATATAACTTAAGTAAATACTCTTGTTATGCTTACATCCTGTTGTTCCATGTTTAAACCTTTGCATAAGAGTGATGTTAATCCAACTTTTCAACAGTGTCACGACAAGAAAGTGGATAAATTAAAGAGAATTCAGTCACGTGATCATTTATCGCTGCGACAAGCGAGACTGTGTTCCAAAATTGTTTGTCAGCGCTGACACCGTTAACGCCGTTTCAAAAATCATCGTAACACGTTGCATGGTATAAAAAGTAAGGTGAACCATTCTCACGAATATGCAGTGGGTTGAAAGTAGTGAAGAGAGCTGTCAACCAATCAATTTTTGAGTTCATTTGCAGAAATTCATATGATTCGTTCTGCAAATAAATACTCTGCAAATTAGTACAATTTTGATTGGTCGAACTCCGCCATTATGCGTAATTATGGTTCACCTTATATAATTTCATCATGGCAGTGCTATGAGAGAGTAAAGACATCACTAATTTTGTCGTCATTTCTTGCGGCTGCTGAAGTGAGGCAACTACAGTATTTAAGAGGGCGAGCAATTTAAAATGTGTATTCACACCAATTGCATGCTTACTAAAATTGGAACGCTGTTGATAATTTTTATGACGATATACCTGCGTTAACAATCAATTTTGGAACACAGCTCATGAAATTGTACCTGTAGCAGGAAATAACAAAATTAGCGACGTCTTTACTCTCTCACAGCACTGCCACAGTGCTATGATGATTTTGACAGTTGAACGGTGTTGACAGCGCTAGCAAACAATTTTGAAATACAGCCTTTAACTTTTAACTTTTAGGTGCTTTTTTATGCTGACGCTTATTTTCAGAGTCAAACAGATCACATGATCAAAATTAGCCTAGCTTCCACCGAAAGTTTAATCCGGATCAGAATGTAAGAACCAATTAACTACAGTCGAGTATTCCCCTGTTACAGTTGAACGACAGAAGAATGCTCGAATTGTAGTTGGTTGATTCTTAAGAGCTCTGCACAGTAAAAAGAACAGGAAATAGAGAACAGAGAATAATGCCCGCATTCATAGTCAGTCATCTTGTATGAGGGCAAGTCAATAAGTTTTTCAAAATACATAGTGAAACATATTTTTTGTGATCGATTCATTTTTATTTCTTAACATAGTCTTCTTTCAGCTCGATATATCTGATCCAATGATTCTCCAACTTTTTTAAGCCGTCCGAATAATATGATTTGTCCAATCTTTCAAAATAAGCCTCTGTTTCGGCGATGAGCTGCTCTCTGATGGTGAATCTCTTTTCTCCGAATCATTTTTTTGAAAACAGGAAATAGTCGCAGGAGACTAAATCTGGCGAATATGCTGATTGGGAAGCAATTCGTAGCGAAATTCGTTGAATTTGACCATCGGTGCCGGGCACGGTAAACCCGTGCATCTTGATGGAAGAGCACTTTCTTCTTCGCCAAATGGGAACGTTTTTTTCTTTAAAATATTGTTGAAACAGTTCAATAAGACTGCATAATAATCGCCATTGATCGTTTGCTTTGACGGAAAGTAATCAATATGAATTATACCGCGTGCATACTAAAATGTGACCTTTCTGGCCGACATTATGATCTTCGCCTTCTTCGAAGCTGGTTCACCCGATGAAATTCATTGTTTTGTTCTTTTGTCTCGGATGTGAAATAATGGATCCATGTTTCGTCCACAATAATGAATCGACACAGAAATTCATCTGGATTACGTTGAAACATCTCAAAACATTGTTTTGAAATCGTCACATGGTCTACAGCAAACGCGGCATCTTGCCGATAGCTTTTTTATACCCAATTGTTCGTGCAAAATTGAAATCACTGTGCCATGTGATATGCCCATGGCCTCAACAAGCTCGCGCATTTTCACTCGTCGATCAGAACAATATCGTGGACTTTATCGATGATTTCTGGCGTAGCAACCTCAATTGGACATCCCGAACGAGGTGCATTACATGTGGATGTACGATTACGTTTAAATTCATTCTCCCAATTGTATTATATATAGTCGCAAACACTGGTGCAGATGTGCTATGAACATTATCCAGTTTGGCTTTGATTTCATTCGGCGTTAAACTTTTCATATGTAGATGTTTGATCATTGCACGAAACTTGTTTTTTTGCAAAAAATACATATAAAGGTTGTTCGCTTTAATCGTCTACAGAAATGAAACGCGATGAATTCTGCTCAAAATTTGACAGTAATCAGCTGAGAGATGCTACTTGTCAAAAAGTAATGTGACATGACACTGCGAGTACCCTCTGACAGATTTTCTAAGAATTTATTGACTTGCCCTTAAAGCTTCCTTAAATTATCTTTAGATGCTCAGCAGTCAATGAAATAATTTGTACAGTATCTGAAGATAAATTTAAGGAAGCCTTAAATATAAGGCCTAACTATGAATATGGATATAAGAATTTCAACTTTCGTATTCCTGAATAGTTCTAAACTGTACTTACACATATCCTTAGTGCACTTTTATGCACAAAACTTCTACGACAAATAAATCCGTATTAAACTAAAGAACACATAAATTGAGCATCGTATATATTCTTTTGTTCATAAATAAACTAATTACAACTAAAAAAATCTTGATTTACATATTGACAGCTTCATTTTCCCAAATAAAGCATGTATACAAATGCATAAATTCGAAATGATCGCGTTTCGCGGAATGGATGCGAATTTGCGGTACTTTATAGATCTAGTGACTTTAAGGAACATTGCGCTGGTATGCCAGAGGCATAAGGCTGCATTTTTTTCTGACGCTCGATTCGACCGTCAAAACTTGATCAAAATTGACGAATACCAAGCATCAATGGTCTAGTTTCCACCGTTTAATTCGGATTAGAATGCAAGGGACTCTGAAATAATAAAAGGAACAGGAAACAGAGAACAGAGAATAAGAATTTCAACCTATCAAAAACTATGTATTCCACAATACATGATTTCTGATAGGTTGAAATTCTTATATCCGTATTCATAGTCACATCACACGTGTGATTATCACACGTGCATGAACTTGAACTTTTTTATGTGACATTTCTGAAATCAATTGTACTTTATAATCTAGTGACTTTAATGTCCGTAGTGCGCGACACGCGATATCCAATGAGTGTATAGCTTTACTGATATTCTCATTCTAAAGATATTGGTGTCATGCACGACTAATATCGCGCTAATATATCTGCCATTAAGACATTTTCACAAGCCGCTCCGTTTCCGACAAAAAAGATCACGTGGTGATCATAATTGATGAATATCAAGCGTCAATTTTTATCACATGATCGTTTTGTCGCTAAAACAGTCGATTTGAGCGGCTCATGAAAATATATCGTTAGGTGACATGAGCGCCAATGACGACACCCGTAAAAAAATCTGACAATCTTGTACAATCCCGTTTTGGAATAAGTTGCATATGTTCGTACTTGTATTGACTTGTAGTCTAAAAACAAATCTTATATAAATAAAAATGTTGAATGTGAAGATCGTGGGAGTATCCTTGAAATGCAGCTTCAACACACCGGTCTCTGTGCAAGAATTAAAACAAGAAATTGAAAGAGAAACAGTAAGTGATAGACTTTAAATTTTTTAACTTAACCTTAAATTATTTTTTATTCCTTGGAATTCTTGTAGCGCTTTCTAATAGGAAAGTTAGTACAACACTGGTGCAATTGAATGCAAATCGATTTAGTTTGTGTTAATGAAGAATTTAGTCTTTTTAAGATTTTGAGATTAACGTAATGACAAAAAAAATTTATTATTAAGGCCTGGTTTTTCATTATCTGGTTAACTTGAGTAAGCTTAACATGATGTTTCATTCAATAAGCTTTATCCATAATATCATCATAAATGAAATTTATTGAATAAAATATCAGGTTAAGCCTAATCAAGTTAAGATAATGAAAAACCAGCTTTAAAAAAATTAAATTATTTATTAACATTGAAAACATATAAATTGATTTGTATTCAGTGTTGCACTAATTAGTAGAAAACGCTATTAATTTCTTAAAACAATTTGATTCAAACAATTGAAATCTCAATGTATAATTTGCATTTAATATTTTAGTTTGTTAATATGAATTTGATGAAATTATGTACATTCAATATCTTGTGTAAAACAAAAATTTGAAAAATAAAAATAGCTGCTTAATGCTCCAAAAATTAATTAAGTGTGAAAGACAATGTATTTAAAAATTAGAAGATCTATTAAGCCAAAGAAAAGAGTAATATAAATATATGTTATAATAGAAAAAAAATAGTGCATGAAATATGAAATTATAAATAGAAATTAAATTACTGATAAGAATGAATCAAATAAATATGAGAGAAAGAATTCTATTTTCAAAGTGGATCTTCATGCTCAATAATATGCAAATTTTTACTACTTATACTTTTCAGTTTTATAAATTATGTGCAGATTCAGTTTGTTGGATTTGAATCACAGTTACAAACTAAAACTAAAATAGCATAATTGATATTGCATTGTGTACAGAAAGCAAAAGATGATTCAGGATCTTGCTTTATGTGAAAAGTTTAAAGAACTCTGCAATAATAAATCTTATTTTTTATTGTTCTGAACAATATAAAAGATCTAAGAGAAAATTAAAATCCATATAGAATCATAATTATACATTCACTTTATATTAAAAATACTAGGTAACAAGAGATGAATAATATGTGCAAAGTTGAAAAACTGTACAATGATCAATATTTTCTATGCCAAACGAAGTCCATAATTATACAATTCTACATGAGTTTTCAATTTTCTATACAAAACAAGGTCCTATGTTGCCTGATATTTGCAGTACAAAAGTAGTAATGTAGTCTATAATTATATAATTTCAGATGGATTTTTAATTTTTTTATACCAAATATGATATATATATATCATATGATCATACATCATATATTTTTTAATTTTTAGATATAT